TATGAAACGTGGGCAGACATTGTCTCAATCTCCCTAGCAGCATTCATTGGAACTCCTGCACTCTTGCTTGTCTCAGCTATATCAAGTTTTTCAGCACATGGGGCATTCATGGGCTGGTGGATTCTGTGCATCACCCCTTTCACCTCTGTGGGCAGTGTTTGACTGAGGGTGCTGCTGGGTGGCTGCAGTTGGTGAAGGGAGGAAAATGCTGTCCTGCCTTCCCTCCTTCCGTGTGTCCATTCTTTCCACCCGAGCAGCCATGGGCACCTTGGTTTGACTCCCTCCTCTCTGCCCTGCTTGAAGGAGCCTGAAGAGATGGTGGTGTTTCAGCTTTTCTTGATGAAAAGTAGGGAAGGTGGGAGGGAGTAGAGAGAAGGGGGTGAGGATGAATGTGGCAGAGGACAACAGTAAAGTGTATATTGGAGCTTTAACTAATACTGAAAATGTTAGTGCTTTAATTTGGTAATGACACGATGTTGTGAACTCTTTGAACAATAGGTTTGCTTAGATAGATTTCATTACTGAGGGGATACTTAAATTCTAATGAAATCCTGTGAGGGAAGAAAGGGAAGAAAAGCTGGTTTGGGGTTTTGTGTGTGTAGGTTTTTTTTTTGTTTGGTTACATTTTTTGGTGTTACTTGTTTTTTGGTGTTCTTTTTAATTGAAAAGATATTGTAGTGTGAGAGGGAACAATTGCTTCCAAGGAAAGATCTTCCTTTTTTGCATTTCCTAGCTCTCTGAACCTTAAAAGGTAAAGGGCAAAACCTATTTAATCCACTAGAATCTAAGGAACAATCATATTTCAAGCAACCATAAATTTGTTCAGGTTTTTTCCTCCCTTTCCCTCAAATCTCAATATGGCAAATGAGCAAAATGCCCTAGGTGCCCCACATTTCCTTGACTTACAGTTTGTGTTACATTCTGGCTAGACTGCTGTTACAAGGTGTGTGCAGTCTTCTAATTTATGGTTAGCAAGTCTCTATCGCCTTTGCAGTCCCAGCTTGTGCAGTAACAATTCCTATGTAGGTTCAACTGGCAACTATAAGTAATTTCTCATAAGTTTACTGATAATAACAAACATATCTTAAAGCATGAGAGAGAGCTTATTATAATAATTGTCTGCAGATGTGAAATGAAAAGCATTATATAAATATATATCTGTAACACTCTATTAAACCAGAATCTCCCAATGAGGGATCCATGGTGATAAATAAGCCCATACATTTCACAGCTCAGAAATTAGTTTCTTAGACTTCCATCATTCAAGGAAATCACATTCCAATCACTGCTCAACTGACATGAGTTTTCATACTTACAGTAATCTCCTGTATTGACATTATATCAAAAATAATTCCCTGAAGAAAAAGGCTAATTTTCTAACCCAGTCAACCCTCACTTTGAAGTCTGCATTGGGATGGTGATGGAAAAGTTTTGCAAAGGTTGAAGTACTGAGCCTTAAAGCATCCTTTATTCTTCCAGTGTAATGATGGCAAATCTACCCTCTCTCATTTCAATGCTTTGAATAAGTCCGTAAAGCAGAAATCGGCAGTTTCATGTTGCTATGCTTGACTCTTTCAGTGCCTTTCCCTTCTAGATTTTGTGCAGCTACCATTAGTTCTACATGACATCCTATTTCAAGCTTTTGATTGATCTTACAGAAGTGAAACTGTTAGCAAGGTCTTTCAATCACAGAAGTACATTTTTTTTTGCATGCCTAACAGGCTCTTGCTAAAGTTGCTTAATGAATTACAACCAATGTTTGAAGAGGGAAGGAATGCAGGCTTGGGAAGTCCCTGCAATACTGAAAAGCAGGGAATATGCCCTTTTGACATAAGGACAGTGATGGCTGTACCCTTTTCCCACTTGAGAGGGTTCTGCAGCCCCTTCGTGGCTCTCCTGAAGGTGGTAAATACTCACTTTCTCCTGCTGTGCCCAGCCCAGCCCTGCCTGGCTGTGTCTGTGCTGGCCCTGGCAGTGTGGAACCATCTGCAGGGGCTGCACTGCTGGGGTGTCCTCACTGCCTACACTGAGGGGGTGGATCAGAAGAGGTGTTGTGGCCTTTGTGATGATTTTCTTTGTCTCTGCTGGACTGTTCCATTCTGCTCCAAATTCTCCACAAAATATTCAGTTGTTTGGGTTTGTGACTTTGCTCTAGCAGCATCCCACCATTCACTGAATGGCAGTGTTTTCAGATGTAATGCAGAAACAAATAATGTGGTCTTATAAATCATCGCCTCTAAATATTGAGATCAGTTTTTAGTGAAAGTGTAATGACACAGTGAGCTCACTCTGTGTGTTTAAAGTTACTCTCTTTTTCCTTTTCAAGATGGAAATTGTCATTATCGTCATAACTGGCACACCCCTCTCCATATTGCCCCTTACCTGCTTTCACAATGGTTTCCAAGTGCCCACAATTAAAGGCTGCTGTTGTGGATTGCACTAGGGTTCAAGAAGAAGTATAACAAGAGCCACTCATACATTGGAGTGGGCAATACTAGTGGACATTGTGTTGCTTTCAGTGAACTTCTCACATTACGACATTTACCCTTCCAGCTCTGTGTGGCTGGTTGTGCAGATGCCCCAAGATGATCTGTTGTTTCGGGTTGTGCAGATGCTGGCAGATGTTTGTTGTCATGGCAGCGTAACAGTAAATCCTGGACTTATGTTTCCAGTTGCTCTCAGCCATGGGACAGAAACTGATGGGGGCCCAGTTCTAGCCCTTTAGGCTTTGTAGTAACTCTGACATGAGTAGGAACAAGTCCACCAAAGACAAGTATTCTGAGAATGACATATTTTTAGATGTAGAGAAAAGAAATAACAGTGGGGAGGAAAAGCGTGAAAGAAGTACAAGGGAGATAAGACTAAGGCAGTGACTGACCTAAGAATGTACACAGTCCAGCTGTGGTTTTTTGTAAGATCAGTAAATTCCAAGTAAAGGCATTTCAGACCTTGTTACAATCCTAGTCCCAAGTCATGTCTTACCTTCTCCTCCCCTCCCAAAGAACAAGAATTGCATATAATCCAGAATAGTGTAAGGAAGCTTTTCTTGCTCAAAGTTAGTGCATTGTTAATAGTAAGTTGCAAAACTTAATTGGCAGGTCCTACTAATGCAGCTGTTCCAGTGCTTCTGATGGCTATAATTTAAAGGCTGGTATACTGTGCCTGTTGTAGTCAACATTTGCAAAATGGATGGACTTCACAGACTGGATGCTGTTCTCAGACTATATTGATTGTTGGAATTAAGAGCCGAGAAGAAAATATTAAATGTTCACAGTCAAGAGAAGCACAACAGGCTTCCATAACAGTTTTTCAGTAACTGTGATTTTAAAGTCAGATAAACATGTAGCCCCTGAAGGAGCAGAATCACTCCTAAATCATAGTTATCTTAAAAATTATTTAAATGGTGTTATGGGGGTTCTCATTGAAAGTCACAAGGATTTCCAGAACTAGCATTCCTCCTCTGAACAGAGAAAGGGCACAGAAACAACACTGCCAAATAGGAAAATATTCAATCTGCAGAATGAATGAATGAATGAATGCAGGATTGATCTGTCTGATTTTTCTTTTGCCCTGTGGATGGCCAAAGTTACAGGTTAACTTGCAACACTTTGTTCCCGGTGTTGTCAGTTATGTCATTGGTGATTTCTGGTCTTGTGCATAGTAATTTTTTTGATCAAATATAAGCTGTCAAACTAATGGGTTGGTACAAAAGAAAGGGAGATAGCTCATCTTTCTGGAGGCTTTTTGTTGGTTCTTCACAGCTTGTGACAGGAAATAAACAAGGGTTTGAATTTAAAACTCCCTATAAAAATGAGGAAGAAGAGATCATCTCACAGTGGCAGTTCTTAATGATACCCATGATAATGATTCAGGATTTTGGAAAACTTCAAAATCAGTGTTATGTTTTCCCATCACATAACCCATTTTGAGCAACTGAGAATTAAAATATACAGATAAATAAATCATCACATCTAGGAAATGAAGTAAAGAAAGACTGGAAAACGTCTCTGGGTCATACTCTTGTAGATGTGTTCATGCTGCTCAGCTCCTTCCCAGACAGGCTGTGCCTGACATGTGGGAAGGGAAACAGCAAACAGATGTTCTCCTTCTGACCCTGTAGACAAGCACAAGGTTAGCTGATATGAGAGCAGGGAAAAGCAGGGTTTCCTAATGGGGTAATGGCATAATGGCATCTTGCTTTGATCAGGAAGGTGTGCTAGGCATTCCTGGCCCTGGGAGCATTGAGTGCCAAATGTTGTTAGATGCTAAGTGAATACTCTGTGTGCCATCTGGGACAGGTTCTTTAGGAAAGGGGACACTGAGCTGGTGTAAGCTGCTACCGTGGTGTCGCTGAAGTCCTGGGGCAGGTAAAGTTTACGCTGGCTGAGGATCTGCCCGGGTCCATTATGGTGGAGGGCATGTCTAGGATTTCATTTTCTATGGTACTTTCACCATACCCGTCTCCTTTTCCCCTTAAGAGTCCGTCAAAACAAAGCCCATTTTAAAAGAAATGAATGTAGAAAATGTGAAACATAAGGATCTTTTACAAAGTGTCTTTTACAGTGCTGGGTACATAAAACAGGGCAGTGGAAGATAAGCCATTATGTATGTTGAGGAAGCCTAAGAATAAAGATTATAGGCAAACAGTCTACCTTTCTTTACAAGGCCTTGATTTACATCCCTGAAATCTCAAATTTAGCTATTACAATGAAGTCCTGTTGCACACAGAGCTGCCTTTTTATCACCACTTAAAATCTAATTAATCCGTATTGAAGCACAAAGATTTCTGTTGTGTTTTAGGGTGAGGGGTCATAGAGCCCTCTTTGTTCATCCTCAGGCTTGTAATCATCAGGCATTGGGATATAATTTTACCAAGCAAATTGGAAGGTAACAGATCAAATCCTTATCGGAAAGCCTAACTCATGGTTTAGTGAAGTCCTTCGTCCTTTATGTGAAACTTTATATTCATGAAGAACAAAAACGTGTTTCAGAGCTTGCAAAGGGTTAATAGCAAGGGCTTATATTTGGGGCAGCAGAGACCTAAAATCATCACAGCTTCCACCATCACTCAAGGTAGCAGTTGGTACAGAACTGCTGGGGAGACCATTCTCCTCAAGCTTTCAGGACTCTGCTCTTACAATGGCCTTAGTCTATCAACCAGTGATGCAATTAAGTGGCATATTGGTCTCTCTCTTGGGATGGGTCCTGTCCTGTCTCACCACCTATCTACCCCAGTGGAAAAACCTTAACTTGGAACTAAATGAACTGGAAATCTGGACCATGGGACTCTGGCAAGCTTGTGTTGTCCAGGAAGAAGGTGGAATGCAGTGCAAGGACTTCGATTCTTTCTTAGCTTTGCCTCCAGAGCTCAGGATTTCTAGGATTTTGATGTTTTTTTCCAATGGATCAGGGCTTTTGGGTCTTCTGCTCTCAGGATTTGGGTTGGACTGTTTGAAAATTGGTGAAAGACAACAGGAACAAAAGAAACGGTTGTTGCTGTTTGGAGGAATGCTCTTCTGGATATCGGGGATTACAGCTATTGTCCCAGTTTCCTGGGTTGCCCATGCCACAGTCCAGGAATTTTGGGATGAGAATATACCAGATATTGTTCCCAGGTGGGATTTCGGGGAAGCATTGTTTGTTGGCTGGCTTGCTGGATTTTGTCTTATATTAGGAGGATCCCTACTTAATTGCATAATCTGTTCTACTGAAGTCCATCCATCTTCAGTCCATTATGCAGTAGCAGAACAGCAGGATCAGTGTCAATGCTTGGAAACTGAAACAAGGCCTTAAAATGGGAAGTTTTAAGCAGTACAGCAATACTGCCCTATCTTTTCCAAACCCTTGTGCAAGCCAGAATCTTGTTCCAGTAGTAATTCAAAGGACTCTTTGTTATGCAGCTGATTTCCTAAATTTCTATCTGTTTTCTCCATAAACTGGTATTGGAAGGTGGTGTGTTTTCTCACCTGTGGAACTGCTTAAAACTGTTTCGCAGCAAAATGCTGAGGTGTTCACAGACTGCATGGAAAAGGTGCTTTTGCTTTCTTAACTGCAGTGTAAAACCATGAAAATGAATATGCATGTTCTCTTACAGCTTGGATTTTAACCAAAATGTGCTTCCTTTTTTATGTAACCAATGAAATAAGCCACAAAGTTTGACTCCCTGTTGCAATTTTCCACTTGACTGATGGAGTGACATATGAACTTAGAGGAGATGTCTGATCCTAAACAGTCTGAATACCTGCATTGCATCAAATGGTTTCTCTGTGTATTTGGAAATAGTAGGTTTCTGAAATTGTAGCAAGCTTTGCAACTGTCTTTTTGTGCATGGGGTGTGATGGTGTGGGTGCTTAGACCCAGCAAGCTGTGTTCTTCCAGTCTGCCACATTAAACTGCCCATACAAGTTATTCTAAGTGTTTCTGGCACCTGCATACTTTTGCACCAAAAATAGGCTGAGAAATGCTGCTTTAAAAACCAGTGTAGCTATCTTCCTCTGACACAGGTCTTGAGTCATTATGCATCCTATCTGAGGTCCCTTAAGTTCCATTCACTCATGTTTGGAACATGTTGCTGTATATTGGACATTAAACATGTGACGTTTACCTGGCCACAAAGCAGACAGTATCATTTGCTCTAAGTGGAAGTGCATCAATGTGATGATAGAACTTAAAAACAAACTGGGATACCAAAATGAGCAAAATTGCTGTAATGCTGTAGCTGATTGATGGAAAACCAAGTATATGCTTTTCTTAAAAAAAATCCAACAAAAAACTAATGAAAAGTGAGCCCAACTGTGGCCACACCATTCTGCTACTGCTTTACCACACCACGTCCCAGTCCCCCAAACAATGTGGAACCAGGCAAAGCAAAGCAGGAGGGAGGGGAGAAGTACTTCATAGAACATTGTTTTAACTTGTGCTTATTTATGTCAGAGTATGACAATTCTTTCCTAGAATTCAAGATTTCCATGATTTTAGTAGCTACATAAAATGGACTAGGACTTCTGAGCCTTGTGATCTCCAGTCCTGGTTTGGACTGTCTAAAGATGGAGGATACAGTGCAGAAGATAAAAAAGCTGTTACTACTTGGAAGAATACTCCAGGTGAAGTCTGGAGACCCTGTCCCTTGCTTACACTGTAATCCAGGGGATTTGGAATAGTGGCATCCCAGAGATTCTGCCCAGATAAGAATTAGGGGATGCCCAGATAGGAATTTGTGGATTTATTCTAATTCTAGGGGGATCTCTACTCCTCTTCACAATCTGTTTATCACCTGTCACTTACGAGAGCAGTATCCAATGGCAGTTGTACAAGATGCCCATCAGCATCTGGAACCTGGAAATGGAAGACTTAAAAAAGGGCAGGGTAGGTTTTCCAACATCTTGCTTGCAGTACAGTAAGAGACAAAGACTTGCTGAACAGACAGGTTACTGTTCACAAGAGCGGGGCTGGGATTCTTTCTTACCGAGTAGTTCCTTTAATCACTACTTACTTTCACTTTTAATGACATGAATTGATGAGCTATGGCAATTTAAGCCACCACTGTATTTCTCCCAAGTCTGATAAATGGCAGATTTTGTTTCTGTGGTATGACTTGGAGGAGTGAGTATAAAATTTTTAATCTCTAGGCCTGAATGGAGAGTTGACCATATTTTAAATGGCAGAACTACTACTGGGGCTGCTTTATGTATTTTTTACAAAAGAATATTACTTGAAGTCTGAAAGAGTTTGTATCACCAATTCACCATGCACTACACAAACCTAATGCAGTTCAAGCTTAAATGAAGTTTGCTGGGCCTGTATCATTTACCATAAACTAAATGTTCTCAGACATGTAATGTAATGCAAGATTCTCCATTGTGAGAGAGAGAGAACATGACCACCTCTATCCCTGCCCAATCTCTCTCTCTAAGGAAAGCCAGTATTTCTGGGCAATAATGAGCTGTTGTCTGGAGGAGACTCAACCATGTTCATTGCAGGTGCAGTTTTTACTTCATGAATGTAAAGAACTAACTTCAAGTATATGAATTAGTTTCCATATAACTTATCCTTACAGCTGTCAGTGATTGATGTGAACTTTCCATAAATTGCCATGATTTTACACTGACAAAGCTGTAGCAGCCATCTGTTTCTGCAAAGACAATACAGAGAGAGAGAAGAGCAATAAAAGAATTAAATAAAACACTAGTCTGGAAAAAAACTTTGTTAAAAAATGTATTTTCCAATCACTGAAACACATGAAAAGTGCAGAGACAAGTTAATTTATGTAATGTACTTGCATACTCTTACAGACAAAATTAGAACAGAAACACATTCAGAATATAACCTGATTAAATATTTAGTTCAGTCCTGAGCATTTGATATTTAATACAGTATAAACATAGCAATAGTAAAAAGAAAAATAATCTTAAAATTATTTGTGTTCTATTACAATTTCTGCTAAACTTTGCTCATTTGGCTAAATATTCTTGTACCAGTAATATTTACTTTTTGATATATTCAATGTACTGACATTGGTACCTGGAAATAGAACTAATTACATTCGTTATACCCTGCTGTGCAGGGTAAATTTCACTCCAAGAGTAATATTTATCACTTTACACTGATGGGACTTTATTTGTGTGTAATATTTTAGCTTATTCTATTGAGTGTTTCTTGTGACACACTGAATTAGTAAAAAACCCAAACTCCAAACCCAGAATTGTTAGAAGCTGCCTATTAAAATGTTCAACTTTACAAATCTGGAAAATGAAGAGCATGAATATGTCTGTCTTTCATTTTAAAGGAGTTTTGTAAGCCAAAGCCAGCAATACTCAGGTTTTGACTTCACCATATGCTTACAAATCAGACAATGATACTTTTTTTTTTTGAAAATTAATCAACATTTGAGAAAAACCAGCTAAATGGGCAAGAATTTAGACACTTCTAAGTATTCACAATAGCATCCTTAACGACAAATACTTTTATGGCCGGAACTGAACTACATTAAACAGAACATAAATAAGACTGTAAATAAATAAAAAGAAAAATCATAAAGTAGACCTCTAAATATCATTCTACAAACACTTTATATAATCAAATTGAGAAGTTGAAACTGTCAACCTTCATTTCACCTCTACATTAAATAATTCCAGATTTTTTTAAATTGACCTTTCAAACATGAATGTTATCTCAAACCAAAGACACAAAAAACAAATGGGGCATTCATAAAGGATGTTGAATCAGTCATCTTGCTCAAAATAGCATGTTTGGCTTTATATTTCAGTGAACTGATGCATTTGTGCATAAGAAAACCCTTGGGTGTTACACAGACCTGTCATTACAGAATTGTCACTTTGAATCTAAGACAGCTGCTACCATATTGTGGTTATATTGTTTCCATTTGCTCAGCAAGTAATTATAACATTTCTGAAAGATGAAGTTCATGCAATGTGGCTTGTTGCTTGGGGAAAAAAACTGTAGCCAGTGAATGAAATACATCTGAGTGCAACATACTAAGTAGAAAATGAAATCTTTCTGTTCTCTGCAATATCCACCTACTAACACAGTACCCACAGAAGATGAGCCCAACTGCTTTACCAAGACAGGACTGCTTCAACACCTACATCCAATGTTCTGAACTTCTAACAGAAGGCATCCAAGTTGCCTTCTGATGAAGCAGCCTGCTAGGAAGGAGCATGTAAGACATTTGAAACAGGCTGTTCACATCTATTCATTAAACATGTGCACCCCCAACTGCATACAGGGTCAATTCTGTATTTTAAAAATTGTTAGATATTGTACAAAACTTTGTGCAGCCTTTTAGTAAGGAGCTTTTTCAGAAAATGGTTTACCTTACCAACAGGACTTCTGTTATCTGAGTTAGCATGTGAGATTTCTTTTTCTGGTATAAATACTTTCATGCTGCATCTCCAGATCTGCAAACCTAGCACACTCCTTCATTATTCCTAGCTGGCAATCATACAGCCCCCTAGGACAAATGATTAACAGAGAAAAACTTTTGTTTTAACAGCACAGTGGGTATAACTATTCCAATTTCAATAGTGGTGTTATGAATTTGATTCATCCTGTTCAGAAAGCAGCTGCCCCTTTTGGTAGTCTCAAAGTTAAGTTTTTAGGGTTACTTGTCTGCCTTGCCTTTCTCACTCCCGCAGATACAAGAAACCTTTAAGTGCAGGTTAAAGTACTGTACATTCACAAAACTAAACTCTGAACTCTGTATTTTCCTACAAAGTATTAAAAAAACAAAACCAGAAAAATTGTTTTCAGAAACAAAATTACATCGTGGATGATGAATCTAAGCAGCAGCTGTTGTGAGGCAGCCTGGATGTTTTGGAAAGGAGCTTACGCTTGTGGTGAACTTTAAACTATAAAAGTTACACTCTTGTACAAAAGTATTGCATGGCAGAACAGCCATTTTCACAGTCTGCTCACATGAAAATAGTGAAAAGATAAACAATTGTCTGTTGAACATAATTTTTCTCAACACAGTGCAGTTCAACAGGATACATGCTTAGTACTGTCTCTGTTCCTTTGTTCCGTCTTTACAAAATAAAAACACAGATGCGATACACACAAACTGTACAAAATCAGCATCAGCATACCAAAATTAATCTACTTTGGTTTTCTGTTTGTTGGGGTTTTTTTTGCCATTTTTTTAAGCTTACAACAATTAAGTTCACTATATTTTACAAATAAACATATCAATAGTGAATGTAAAATAGAAGATCTTTGAAAGCACATCACTGGAACTACAAAGCTCATCTGAAAAGAGATGAACAAATGGAAAAAACACTTCAATGAAACTGCATAATTATACATCATCAGCTGGAAGGGCTGGTATACTAATCTTTGCTCTTGTGAAGTATGCTATCTTCTCCCTGAAATTAGAAAAGAAAACAAGAGATTTTTTTTTACCATTTGTGGCATGATTTCAATGTTATCTGCTGTAGAGTTGCTAATATAAGAGCATAATTCTTTAAAACACAGGTTTGTAAAATACACAGAAAATTTATTTACAACAAATGTAGCATTCTGACACAATTACCTTCTTACGCAGATTTATGTAAAAAGCAGTTCCAGTTTTGAAAGAGAAAAAATACCAGTATTTCATTAATCACTGCAATGATAAGACTGAAATATTGTTCCAGTCACTGAATTTCCAATGATGATATTTTCAGTAGGGGGATGAGATGGCAAAATAAATAATTTTATCCTAACATGGGAAAAGG